AGCCCTCTTTGTGGAGGCGCTGGTGGCTGCGCCATCACCCTGCCAGGACTCAGCTGCTGCAGGCCCATCACCCACTTGCAGGCACAGCTCGGTGGGCAGGGGAGGATGAGCATGTTCCGCTGGCCCTGCCCATATCCTGTGCACATCACCCCGGGCTCTGCTGGGCTGGGACAGAGAGAGGATGGAGGCGCAGGGGGGCAGCACTTGGGGGTGACCATGTCCCAGCCCCCTCCATCCCAACGGCAGATGCCTTAGTGTGAGTGGGGCTGTGTTCAGCTGCCGCAGTACGTGCACGGTGCCCATGGACCCGCAGCACGTCCTCCTGGCCCTACTGTCTCCGGTCCTGATCACAGCCTTCCCCCCACCCAGGGACCCCAGGACAGCCTTAGGAAGCCACCGCTCCCCATGACCACGTGCCCCCTTCCCTGCCCTGTGCCCATCCCAGCCCCATCTGTGTAACATGGGCCTGGGTTGTCGCAGCATCACCCGTGGGCTCCGGTGCCAGTGTTGGGCGACTGCTCTGTGTGGGTCTTTCAAGCAGTGTGTTTGTGCGATTTCTCTGTCGATGTGCCTCAGAGGGGGTGGATTTTAAATCACCCAGCACCCTCAGCCAGGCCTGGAGCTGGGGGTGCAGAACTCATCGGTCCTGGTCAGAGCCATCATTTGGTTTAGTTATGAGCATGGAGAAACCCAGAGGGAGATGGGGACATCCCCCCTGTGTTAGGGTTTGTGTGCTCCTTCCTGTGTCCCCTGCTGCGAGTAACTGTTTACATTTGTTTTATTGTACATAGGTTTGTAAACATAATACCTTTGCCTAAGGTCTTCTTTGTACATAACTTGGGCTTTGTAGCTTTATTTATTCAAGACCTATATGGCATGTTTCCATAGGACAGTGTACCGGCCCACCAGCGTAACATGGATCAGGATGTGGTTTAACACACAAACCCATGAGCGTCAGCTTCCAGAAATAAAGTTCTTTTAATGTGGACTCGTTGGGCTGTGCAGAACCAGCGCCCGGGGCCATGCTGTGGGCAGAGCCCCATGCAGGGTCCATGGTGCTGGGGCCCCTCTGGGGCACAGCAGGGGCTCAGCACACAGCTCCCCTGCTGCAGCCTCTGCTCCAGGCACCCACCGGCCCGGCCGAGCCCTGGGGGGGGACTGAGGTTGATCTGGGGCAGCACTGGAGCAGCGCTGCACCCCCCGGGGTGGTTTTGCCTCCTCAGAGCAGCAAAGAGCAGCCTGGCATGGCCCCTGCCTGGGAGGTGGCACCGCACAGACCCCAGCCTGGT